TTTTTTAATCATTTGTTTCTTATTATTTTTTACTTTTTAATCACCTTTTTATTTCATTATTTCATATTATTTTTTTATTTATTTACTTTTTTTTTATTTATCAATTACATTTTTTTCCCCACCTAACTGTATTGCTATCACACAGGAGAAAACAATCCCCTGTGTGATAGCAATTGGAGGTGACAGGTTCTCTTTATTGACCCCTGTCACTTCCAATACAGGAGTTCTAGCGCAACGCTGGTGCTGGAACTCCTGTGACAGGTGAGAGAGGAAGAGCACCGAGGCCCCAAGGCCGGGCCTCGGTGGCCTTGCCGGGAATCCGGCCTTGAACACATGATAATGAATACTTTGTTAGGAGGACAATGTAACACTATAAATGGGGGGAACAGTTTATTGATGGAGGTGTCATTATGTGACGCGCACACGATGTATAATATATGATGATGTAAGAAGGTTATTACGTCTTATAGATGAGAGGTCACATTTGGTGTATATGGGATCCAGTGTGAAGTCATTCCCTGATAAAGTCTTATTTCACTTCCCTCGCCACTGACGCGTTTCACAACAATGAGCTTTTTCTGCAACTAATCCGATCCATCAACAGAGGATGATGCTGACGCGTTGTATCGGTCTGAACTTCCCCTTCTGCAGATGAATAATACATTCTGAGCCCATTTCCAGCTCGAAGGCTTCTGAATATAATCGGCTCTGTCTGGTTTTTTTGTCTCTTTTCCCAGCAGGAATTTTGGCGCGGTTAAAGTTGGAGTCAACCGGCGATTATTCTTCCGCAACACAATCCGTTATAAGACAGGTCGGTGTTTCTGCAGGTTCTGGGGATTGCCCAATCACAGAGGAGGATAGGGAGAGTCCCCTTGAAGTGGCGGGATGAGGAGTCTGTTCATGTGGGCGGGGCAGAGATGAAGATTTTGGGGTGACTCACATTGTCTCTGAATGTTGGCGGGCAACTGCAACCTGATGTGGAGAAGAGATGTCCTTGTTTTGTTGCTCGCCCCCTACAGGGAGGTCCAGGAACTTCAAAGAGGTCTGATAATGCTGAGGCCCCTGACGGAGTATGTGATCGGGACAAAACTTGGTGGAAGAGCTTACAATCTATTAGGATATAAGGGAGGATACAGAAGGGGAGGAGCTTCCACTCTATTAGGATATGAGGGGGGATACAGAAGGTGGAAGAGCTTACACTCTATTAGGATATAAGGGAGGATACAGAAGGGGAGGAGCTTACACTCTATTAGGATATAAGGGAGGATACAGAAGGTAGAAGAGCTTACACTCTATTAGGGTATAAGGGAGGATACAGAAGGGGGAGGAGCTTACACTCTATTAGGATATAAGGGAGGATACAGAAGGTAGAAGAGCTTACAATCTATTAGGGTATAAGGGAGGATACAGAAGGGGAGGAGCTTACAGTCTATAAGGGAGGATACAGAAGGGGGAGGAGCTTACACTCTAT